GGTGCCCCTCACCATCTCGCAGCATTTCATTCAGCATATCTGACGCCCACAGATTGCGCCAGGTAAGGCAGGTGAGGATCTATGACGTTTTTGGAACAGAAACATGAATTTCCTAGCCTAGGCGCTTCAACCGTAAAGCCCTTTTGTGGCCGTGGCGTCTGTTGCGGCGGTTTTCAGCTCTCTGGCCACGAAAGGATGGCTATTTCTTTGTGAATGGGTACTCCCTCGCCGAGCCGCTTCGGCAGCAGAGCTTGTCGCTTCGGAAGGACAAGTGCTACTGTTGTAGCCGGCGGCCCCGTCGAGAAGCAAAAACCGAGGAAAGTCCGGCTCGCTGAGAAGGAGGGCCTAGTGCCGTGGACCTTTTCAGCAAGTGTCTTCTTCAGTGCTGGCTATTCTGGCTGTGGTTTGGGGCGTTGGGGCGCATGCCTGGCACATATTCAGGATTGAATTTCGTAGCATTTATGGTCAAACGCTTCCGAGTGACAGCTATCGGAGCTAGGCCAAGCATTGGAAACATGCAGAAGGCCTCAGCAGACTGTTTTGAAAATTCTGCGGTTGTAACGTGTCAATAATAACCTCCAGAGCATCTCACTGCATCTGTGGTTCAGCACGTCCAGACCCTATTCTCCCCAGCCCAGCCACTCGTTGCCAAGTCATACATTCTCTAGTTTCTGCTGAATCCAGAAGTTGTGAGCCGCACACGTAAGGCTGGCGTCATGATCTGGGAGCTAGGGCAGGCCGCGGGCAGCCACTTTTTTATTCAGACTACACTTTAGGAGGATCTTGTCTGTCTTGCCCATGTTCGTGCCTCTCGTGCAGGAGTCTACTGTAGAGGGGGCCTGCGTGCTTTCCGAAATGTCGCCCCTACGCCTCATTGCGGGGCTGAAGAGAGTAGCTTTGGCATGGCACAGGATGTGATTGAAGATCGTGGGAGCCTGCTTTGGCAACTTGGGAGCATTACTTGCGGACTTCAGGTCGGCTTCAGCTCAGCTGTCGGAAGTTGGAGGGACCTTAAGGATTTCACCTTTAACAGGCGGGGATTCTAGAAAATGTGGTCTTTGGGCATGTGACGATATGTGAACCCTTCTCGAGTCCACTGCCAGGCAAGCCTGGGATGCGGCACAGAGGGCACAGAACAAGGACGGGGCAAATTCTCTCGCCGGCCCGTCCCATCCGCACTGCCTGTGCATGCTGTGCCTGCTTCGAAGCCTGTTTCAGCAAGCCTTTGAGCCTTCGTGACATGTTGATTTTGCATCAATCATGTGCCCGTGAAGCCTGACGCAAAGCTTTGCCATGCCCCCCGCCCCCTGTCTGAGTGCAAGTTGACATGTCTCAGCTGTGCAGACAGTGTCGCATGGGGGCTTGTTGTCGAGCTCAGCCTACAAGAGCAGTCTCGTCTGACGGAGGGCATTTTCCACGGCCTTTTCGGCATCGTGCTAACGGAAGACCACATGTTTGGCATCCTGGCAATGCATCATGCACCAACCCTTTCCCCGACAGGTTTGGTCCTTGAGGAACGATGGGATCGATGATGGCATCGGAGTACTGCTTTTCCCAGCACGTGTGCAAGTCTGAATGTGAAGGATGTGCAATTTAGATGTTAAGGCCAAGCAAGGGCCTCGACAAAAGCCAGCCATATGTGCATCTCAGCCAAGGCATGCTGACGTTCATGATGGGAGGCTGGCACAATGTGTTTATAGCTGTCGGCATCGTGCAGCCCAAACCACGAATCATCACCAGCCAGTCAAGTTCCTTAGATACATGAGTGACAAAGAAGGCCAAGAAAGGATTCTTCCGACACCGATGCCAGGCTACTACCTCGCCAAGACACTTGCCAGAGCTGCACGGCCGGCGAACAACACCCACAAGAAGCAGGCAGAATCTGCAGCTGAGCGGTCCTGCCGATAGTTTCCAAGCAAGTTGTCATTCTTCCCGACCCGGGCAGAATGAGGGGTCTTCCCGCGGGTTGTCGGGAAGTCAAGGGGCTCGACTTGCAGGGATCAACGAAGGCGGCCACAGTGTCCGACAACGTGAGTTGTCAAGTCATTGGAGCAGACGAAGCCTTGAAAACGGGCAAGCTGGAAGCAGGCTTGTAACGGCAAAATGTGCTAAGTCACAAAATCAAGTCAAGTGCCACGAGTACTGGCACGACATGAGACTCTACTCCGCGTTCGTTGTGAGGGCAGCAAGTTGCAGCATTGGTTCACCTTGGGCGTTCGAGAGAGTATTCCTGTCAATGTGCTGTGTACACAGCTGTCTCGACCCAAAGGCTTCGCCAGGCGCAACACTACCAACGGTGTCTCGACGCGGGTTGGTTCAGCAGACTAACTGTACGATTAGCAGGAGTACTTCTCGGGCTTTTGGAACTGTCATTTGGTGTTTCGAATCGAATGGCCTGGAAGGGTTCCACCTGCCGGGTGCGGTTGCGGTCCCTTGGCGGACTCTTGCGATTTGAAAATGACGCACTATGTTTTAAGGCTGTATTTTGCAGGTTCTGTTGGGTAGGGTGATGCCTCATACTGTAGCATTGCATCACGTTGGCGCACACACATACACCAATTGTTATCTCAGGTCCCGGAGCAGTCCAGCGACACTGCCGACGACACTGCAGATAGCGACGAAAAGAGCACTAAGAAGAAATCTTAGCCTGCAGCGTGTCTGCAAGCAGTTGAACTCCCGGAACTTGTGCAGAGTGTGCCATAAGTGCATACTCGAGCCTGCAGGCACGCCCTGTGTGTTGCGGTACGGCGTGCAAGAAAACACAACGCCTGAGTGGCGAGCCAGGCGATGCTTGCAACATCTTGCAACATTACCCCGTTCTCCCTCGTGTGTTGCATTCGATCCTGTTACAAAGCCGGCATTGTCATGCGATGCCATGCAGCTTCCGTTTCAACCCTGCGCACCGAGCAGCCCCAAGGTAGCACGACCCATGATTCGACAAGACAGCTTGAACACTGAAACACCTGTTCGAACGAATCTCAGGTGAGGAGCATCGAGAGACGGCGGAGTGCAGATGCTCATCACAGGATTCGCTGTCCAGCAAAAAAATCTGCGGAGCCGAGGTGAATGCTGATGTTTCATGTCATTCTTCCATCTATGTGCGTAAGTCCAGCCGGAGTCCAGCCGTTGGTTTGGCTCTAGTCTGGCTTAAAGAAACAGACGCTGGAATAAACATGAAATTGATGTCTGGTCGGGGCATGGCAGCGATGCTCATGCTTCGGGTCTGCCGGGACCTGGGGCTTGTGTTTCCGGGAGAAACGTGAGCGTAATTCAGAGGTAATGTTACCTTGTAGTTGAATGCGGATGAGAGAATGGATAAGTTGTTAGACCTTTCGAACAGAGCCCGTAGAACTGCTTAAGACCGCCGTTTATCTTCCCAAAAACTACTACAGTTTGCTGATGTGATATACCGCTTTATTTCTTTTAGCCACTTCCGTCTCAAACCAGGTACCACAATGTGCCTGTAGCGACCTTTCAAAGTCTCGTCGACGTCGAAATCATCTCTCAAGTCACTCAGTGCGGCATGTCTGCAAGCTTTTCCAAGCGATAGTTCTGCGCAGCCCAAGTGAAAGTCGAGCCACACTTGACCTGAGATGACCTGAGCGTTTTTGTGATCTTAGTGCCTTCTGTCTGAAAAGCGACGCTCTCTGCCGCGATGGCACCTGCGCTGGTTCAGTGCCCGGGAGTCTCGGCTTAGACCACGTGATGATCACCTTTTTTCAAGGAATCACACCAAGCTATCGGCACAACAGCGAAAACACAAAGATCGGGACGCGGCGGCATTGCAATACCGAGCGGTACGGCTTGGCCACTTCGGCAAAGAGGGTCATCATGATGTTGTTGATGATGCCCCTTCTCCCCTTCTGCGGTTGCAGCTTTAGTGGCAGTGCTACTGCAGGGCGCAGATACCTGTGTCAGTATCATGACCGTGCCGTTGTCGGGCCTGCTGGTATCCGCGAAACCAAAATGCATAAACAAAACGTGGGCGCCGCCAGCACATCAACAACTTTGAGGAAGTAGCCGCAACGGGGCAATTCAAATGTAGATCCAGAGGCTGCGAATGCCGCAGAGCTGCCGAGTCTGCCAGAGATAAGGAATGATGCCTGGTTGCTGTTGCTGCAGATGTTGTAATATGGTTGTCGGTGTTGGTCAGCAGCGTTCGTGCTGCTGGCGTTGTTCCTTGTTTGTCGTCTCGCTCTTAGCGCCGTGGATTTTGTTGTCGCCTCTGTGGTTGCCGTCGTCGGTTTTGTCGCCACTCTGATTCCTGTTGGTTTTCCGATACTACCACTAGGTCGTCACTATCGCATGCTCCACAGAAAGAAGCCCTGCCTGCGGATTCATCATAGTCTGGCCGTCGATGCTTCGGCACAGTCTCAAGCCAGCTGAGGCGAGGATCGTTCCGAGACGGGGACATGCACGGTGGACGGAGGCATCCCGAGGAGAAAGACACGAACACAACGTAGCATTTTCGACCCGAAGTTTTTTGCGGTCTTAGCAGTGGCAGTGGCTCTTGACTCCAGGATGTAGGTCTAAGACCGGCGATCGCGATCAATGAGCCGTTTATGTGTTTCCTTTAGACGCGGGCGGATGTAACCGACCGACAGATTTGGACCGGCAAGGCCCTGGAGCACCTGTGTTCAAGTTCTTGCAACCCTGAGAGCCAGGCTTTGTCTGCTTGCAGCTGCTGGACAGCGCAGGAAAGCCCCGAGCTGCTCGACCGCTTTCAATTGCGTGCCAGTTTGCTAGGATTTAGGATTTAGTGTAAGCCCGTTGGGATTTCTGAATGATTCAGAAAGTTCGAGCATTTGTCTCGCTGCGAGTCCAATGCGGCAAGGCTGTAGCAAGCGAAGACCCTGAAGCGGAAGTCCAAACACACGACTTCAAGTCCCAGGGACAAGGATACATCGGGTTAAATTCCTAGGGCGGCTCCAGGGATGGAAATTTGGAAAAAGCCCGAATTACTCTCCCTGCCAAAATGCAGTCGTGCCGGTAAGGAATTCATGCCTGGCAAAGACTGGTGGGACGTCACTGGCCAAAGCGCTCACAAGTGGGTTATTCGGCTGCAAAGAAGCGGTACACCCGAGCTGCCCCGGAGGCAATTCTCGAACCAGACCTAAAGAAGCCTGTTCAATTTGCATTTGACTTTTAGCTGACCGACGCACGTTTGTTCAACGTTGGATGCTTGCTTTTGACCTGTGCCGCTACTGGTAGGTTGTTGATATTTTTCGCTAGGTCACAGTCGAGTCGAGAACCCAAGAGCTCCCGCTTTCGATAGGCCTTCCTGATTTCCGTCTTTCGCAAAAGCTTGTGCCCATGCCTCCTTCGGCGCGCTCGAGCATCATCATACCCTACCATGCTCCTGTAACTGGAACAGACAAGCGGAGATCGTCAAGCCCCAAGAGTGTTGACATGCGCGGCATGGCTGTTAAAACCAGGTGTTTCTTGCTTGCTAGTCTCTCTCGATCTCTCTCTCCAGTCGCTTGCGTTTTGAGCTACGCTGTGTTGGGTGGTGCAGGTGTGGGCGATCTAAGCGTGCCTGGAAGATCTCAGGACGACCGTATTCGATCGAACCATGGTGACAGCTGGTGTGTTTGTGCGACTCGGCTTCTCAATGTCCACAACCTCTCTCGAGACCCTCGGCACCACAAGCAGGGGAGCTCTCAAACGCAAATCTTTGCAACCACGGGCCCTGCGAGTCGGTCCAGATTTCAAAACCCTGGTGATCCTCATGGTGACCTGCGATGCCTCCTCAAGATAATAGCATCTACCAGACTAACATGGATGAAGGACTCGCTGAACCGTGAAAGCTGAGCAGCAGTCCTAAACTCAGCAGCCCTCAGCTATCCTCCAGTTCCTAGCGTCCTGAATGCCGTCCAAAAGCATAGACCAGAGACTCGCAACCCTCAGCAGGTCCCAGGACCTTGCAACAGCAAACATAATATAGGCCCCTAAACCCTATACCCCAAACCGAGACCTCGTCAGGCATGTCCGAGTTGCGAGAGCGTAAAACCCCAAACCCTACGCGCCCACAAGTCTCCGATGTTTTACCGTTTGAGGCGACCTGTGCCTCAGAGATCGTGGACCTGGCCAGGGCCATGGTTGTCCGCATTATCATTATTAGTACTACTACGAATGCTTTACCATTACTACAATGACTATTATGGGGGATTAGGGCACATGAAGTTGGTCTAGAAACTGCTTGTAGTATAGTCTGCTCCTATGTTCTGTCGTATTGTATAAGTGGGCACAACCAGGTTGCAATTTAGTAGCGAAGGGTTGAGAGAAGCTTGTACTAGTTGCAGGGTTTCCGATCTTGGATTTGGTGTTTGCAGGGCTTCACATTTGATGGCTGTGGGGTTTACAAGGTTCAAAGTGAGAATTGACTCCGAAGCTTGGAGGCCTTGGGCATTTGGAGAGGCTTGGCATTCCGGGTCGCATAATAATGAAGTCAGAGACTTGAGGGATTCGGATCGTGCCGGACATGCAAGGCTTGCTTTGGGCTTGGAGGCATTTGCATATACACATGTATGTCGTATGTGTGCGCACACGTGTGCTGGGCATGCGGAACTGAATTTTGCGTTGTTAATTTGGAACCGCTGCAAACGTGGACTGGGCCGAGGTTGGATGCCAGCAGATGCCTATCCGCTGTAATGCTACGTGCCTTGGCTGGAGGACTTTGGATGGGTAAACCCGACAAGCAGTCCCGGGCGCGGCTCGCGGTCGAACTTGCTTGTTTAACATAGTAGACAGTAGGTCTGTAGTTTGGCTCCAATGAAAGTCTTGGAGGTTCATGTTGGAAGGTGTGAACAGTAAGCCCCGCGACCTAATCTCGACTCCCCGAAGCGATTAGCCTGCTGCGTGGATAGAGGAGCAGCGACCAGTCAGTGTTGCGCTTGCAACTGGGTCTTAATGTCGGATCTCAGCTCACGGTTGTTCAAAAAGCTACTCTCCGAAACCGATTCCCGAAGTCCAGTCCTTTCCATTCTTCATTCCAGATTCACGGCTTCCAGCCCCGAGGAATATGAAGGACGTGTTCGGCATCGATTTGCCAATTTACGCATCATTAGACGCTTAGCCGCACAGAGGGCTGCACAGGAGTCCCGCCCCACCGGGCTTCGGCTTCCTGTTTGAATTGGAGGTTCGTGAGATCCGTCTTGAGGATGCTTGGATTTCGGCCGAGTGACGAAGAGTTGGGTTGTTGCAAAGAGCATCATTCCAAGAATCGGGGGAATATACCGAATGCGAGGATCCTGCGTGAGGCTCATGTGGCTACCGTCCGCGCCGCGTTCTCGCCACGGCAAGAACCAGAACCAGCCCTCCACATGAATAGCTCGGCATGAGGGCTTGCAGTTGGGGCTGGAGGGAGTTCCACCAAGGGCTGCAAAATCTACAAAATCTCTCCAAAGCTCTTTTCCGCTCAAGAGTCCAAAGTATCGAAATCCTGCTTGCAGGAGACCTGCCTTCGCACCCGCTGCCCGGAAGTGCAAGGGGATCTGCGAAGCCGGGCAGTGCGTGAGGGCGTAAGGGGCACCCAAAATGCCATCAGGGCCGTGTAGCCAGCGTTGAGTCGGTGAAGATTGAAGGTGATCAGGAGCAGGAGTCCAGAGTTCCTCGTTTCCCACACGAAACTTTTCGCATGGGAATTCGGCATCTTGTGGCATTGTGCTTCGATGTAACCGTGATACTGTAAGTTATTTTTTTAGCATGGAGGCTTCCCCGGACTTGTCCGAGTGTTTAGCCTGCAGGCTGGGGTCTCTGGGAAGCCCTGGCTCCGACAATCGACTCCGGCGACTTTGCGTCGGCTTAGTTTTGCATTCGGCTTTCTGTATGTTTTTTGGGGCGGGGTTCGTTGACGGTTTTGAGCTCAGGCCTTGGATTTCAGTTTCTTGAGTTCGGAGCCAGGGTTTTGAGTCACGCGTTCAGGGTTTGCGATCATAGAGTCATGGAGGGGAGTGGACACTTACAGTGCCTGTTCAATACAATCGGGACCGTGCCTTTGGGACGATCTCAAGTTTGAAAGCATGAGCTGCCCATGACCCGACAACTTCACAGGACTAAAGTCCTCAACCTCCGAACCCAAGACTCAACACTGCACCTTCCTGAGGAGCATGTAGTACCGGACTTCAGCGGAGTCGTGTCGCGTTATGTGGAGTGTTGAAGTGGAAACAGCAAGCCAATGACCAAACCTCATGAACGAAAGAGTCGAAGTTGCCCATCCCTTTAACTGTCAATTTGTATACCTTTCTGCATGAAGTGGAGAGTGGAGATGGAGAGCTGTATGCCGCCTGGGTCTTTTCACTGTTGAGGAAGCTGCCTTGCTGGACTTACCGAGAACAAGTTCTCGTTTCGGCATGATTTTGTAAGCTGTTGGCCTTTCATCCCTCGTGGTCCTATGCGTCGTGTTAACATTGCGGGAGGCAAAGAAAGATTCAAGACTGCAAGTTGGGCACCCCACGAGAAAAATGACGCCGTCTTGAAATGTAAGGCCCCGAGATGGCGTTATCCCCCGATCTGCCTCGAGACCCCCAAGGGCAGCTTCTGCCCTCCGAAGCGGCCCCGCTACGGCGGGCGTAGCTCGGGCGGTAGCTCAGGCTCGGGTCCCTCGCTTTCCCTGGTCGGGGCCGCGGAGCTCGGCCTCGGGGCCACGGTGGTGGTGGCTGCCACGGCGGTGCTCCTCCGGAGGCTGGCGCAGTGCCAGCATATGAGCAGTTCGGCATGTCGAAATTGTGCCGGGATGGAGAGGCCGAGAGTGACAGAGAGAGTGAGAAAGCGACTGTATGACAGTGTGTGTGTGTGTGTGTGTGTGTGTGTGTGTGTGGACATGGCCGTCTGGCATTGGCATGGGTAGGTTCGCGACACATGTCCGCTACCACTACCAGCTCCTCTCAGGCTGGACAGCAGCAAGACTGAAGTTGTTTGTCTTTGCCTGATGATGTTCTCGTGGGTTGTTGGATATGAGCACAGGTGACAGTAGCGACGAAGAGGCAGACTTGCTGCTCGACTCTGAAGCTCATTAGCTGTGCCTGGCCTACCAGGAGTTCGATTGCTTTTCAGGCCAAAGTTTCTTGGGCCGTTCGCTTTAGAACTTCAGGCTCCTGCACGTTGTACAAAAAATCAAGGCTGGTCAGACTCTGCTGAGTACAGAAAGCTGCACATGCTGCGTTCCGGATTCACTTTCAGGGCTTTTGGTTTGACGCTCTGGGCTGATAGTTCAAACTATATAGTGTCCACAGCTCAATGTTAGTAAGAGGGCTTGGCCCGCTGGTCAGTTTGACCCGATATACGTGACTTTCTCCTTTTACTAAGGGTTGCCGTGAATTTGACACACAAATGTGACTCAGACAATTTTGCCGAGCTCTGAGCTCCAACTAACAGAGAACCAATTGTTGCCGGCGGACCTGGGACGGTCTATTGCGTCTGAGGCGAGCTCTTTCTCATCTGTGGGACTAAGTGCACAATGTTTCGTACAGCATGTTTTGATCGTCGATGCCATAATACTGCACTAATAAGCCAATCAAGCAAGAACTAGTTATCCGGCTTCAAAGCTTGTTAAACGCTACACTTGGTCGATGCCAGATCCCCCGAGTTTTGTTGGCAGAGTTGGCAGCTTTGCCCAGGTCAGAGAATAGTGGAAGTAAAATTTAGCAATTAGCTCGGCGGCTCGTGAGTCGTGGAGATTCGTTGTGGGCCGAGAAGCATTACCGCTTTGTCGAGTTTCAGTCCGAGCCAACAACAACAACATACCCGACGGCGGCAAGGGCGGCGGCGACGACGGCCGCCACCACCATCATTAGTACTCGTTGTAGTTGTAGTTGTCGTCGTAGCCCAGTCAACCCCAAGCTACCGCATTGTAAAGTCAGAGCGCTTGAAGCGCCGGGTGATCGTCTAGCAGGAAAGCCACCCTATCTAACCATCTAACCCGACAGTCTGTTGAAGCGGCAAGGCCATGTTCAACAGAAACCTCCATCTGGTCGAAGAGCCGAGTCGAACGGCAAAACCCCAGCCGTTCCCAAGGGAGTTCTACATTATGGAGCCCTAAACTTACATCGAATCCAACCCCTCAGAGCCTGCATAACTCTCAACAACGCCTCAGTCTCGAACCGGAAACCCTTTACATGCAGCCCTAATTTGCATCCGGACGCTTCGTTGCCGATTGTTTGTGGGCTCAGGATCTAGTAATTAGGATCCACCTGCCCAGGGGACTGGAAGGCTTCCAAGCAGAAAGGCGCAGATGAGGTGAAGTTGACATTTTGATATGCTATGACTTGCGAAGAAAGCTTTGCAAAGGCGCCCCTGCCTCTTTAGGCCACGAGCTGACCGATAGCGAGCCTCGCACGATGAAACCAACAGCCCCAGCCACAGAAGCAAGGATCAGGCAGGTCCTAAGCAGGAGCCGCGCTGGATGTGACCTTTCGCCAGGCATCGCTCCTTCCTTATTCCGTTTTGGGGGATAAGTTATGAGTTCCCCGCGGTGAGCATGGTTACTCAAGCAGGTTTGCCTGTGTTCGGATGGCACGACGGGCTTGTCTATCACGCTTCGAACTTAGGATGTCAGGCACGAGATGTCGGAGCGGAGATAAGGCCTCTTGAAAAAACTGGGCGATCATGAAGGTTTCAGGTGCAGGAGCTTAAACCGGCTCGATGATGAGTACTGATGATGACGGCTCGTAAGATGTTGTTTTCGTTAACATCTGCATCAACTAATGAGACTAGTACTCGTAGCCAGTACGAGCCCCTGGCCAAGACTAAGTGAATCCTCGCAGTTTGAATGGTCGGAGCTTTGATCTGCTTCCAGGTTCAAAACAGGGTCAACCTGAGTAATCCGGATGGATTATAGTTCCCTTGAGCGATGGGATCTTGGTTCGGAGGGCTTGCATAAGACCTTCATTGTCAACTAGGAGTTTGCACGCGACTGCATTTCCGAGCCCAGAAACACATCAAAGGAAACGTCCCAAAAGCAGATACCTGCAGAGTTAAAAGGATCGACAATGACAAAAAAACAAACTCCGGAAGGGCCTCCTTGTCGTGATGATGGCAGCCCAAGGAGGCACACGGCTGAGGGGATCTAGTGAACCCAGTTGATCCTCGGAGCGTTGGCAGTGAGAGTCAACACCGGAACGTATATGAGCCATGAAAGAAGATCGTCGAAGATGCACATAGGGAGTTCTCCAGTCGGGTCGAGGTCTGAGGCACTGAATGTAGACTCTGAGCAAAAGGTCCTTCGGTCATGAATTTGGATGTTCAGGGTTGATCGTGATCTACAAGAGCATTTGTCGGGAAACCGGCGTGCACTGATCCGGCAGTGTCGTTTTCAGTTTGACTGGCTAGGCCTTCTAGAGAGTGCCTATAGCATAGTAATATCTGCAGGCATGTACGTTGTCACTCAGGTTCGGTTTTGAGCTGCAAATGCAGACACAGATTCTAAATCCAGCGGTGGGCCACAAGAGCCAGCAGGGATAGCCAAGCAATACCTTACTACGCACCAGTTCACACACGACACTCACACAATCTGGCACAGTTAGAGTTAGAGATATCCGATATCCTGGAAGCTCGAACTCCTAACAGCCGCAGATAGATCCCCGCCAGGAGCGCCCAGGAACCGGAGAGCCGCTACCTTGGAACGGTTAGGAACATGCTTCAAGAATCAATGCAGGAAGGTTGAGTGGGTAAGCTGGGACCTGTCCGACCGCTCGCCGCACACAGGGGAAGCGGAGAAGTAGAGGGAGGTGCTTCGGATGAGTTTCCGATGCACGGCTTGTGCACCCATGCGTTCCCTCCGACGAAACCATCGCGACTATTCAAGCAGCGACATCTCTTGCCTTCCGTAAGACTGATACATTCGTCTGAGGTCCTGTGCACGGCAGGGATCCCCGGGAGACGCCAGGGATCGTTTGGGTTAGGCGATTCAGGGGTTTGGTCTCGGCACCCGAAGCTCGCAAGAAATTTGTCTGGATTTGTTGGCAGGAGAAGGTAGGTATCCGGCACTGCATATGGGAGTTGGTTTGAGCCCCCGGCTCTTGACATGATCGTCGCTAGAGAGGCGATTTAATCTTGTTAGCATGGCCACGCAGATATGCTTTCAAGAAAGTGTAAGAGACCGTTTAATGCCCCTTAAGCTCATGCTGAATTTCATGCTTATCCAACATGCACGTATGCAACAACTGGTGTTCGGGCAAGCTCCCGCACATTATCCAATGGATCTGGTCCTTACGATGCAACCAGGAATCAAAGTTTCTGTGGGTAGTATTGACTCGTGATTTTGGATCACCTTAAGCACTTGAGCACATGGCATCAGCGTCGTTGTGATTGTTGTAATTGCTAGGATACGCAGACGACGCACATTAGTCAGCAGCTTGGACGGCCTTGCTCTGTTTCTATTCACTCTTGTTTTTTATCGCCAAGGAATCGTGCTTTGAGAGTGTCTGACATCGTATTCTTTGCACAGCTGCCGTGAGTATGTGGGAAACGTAGACTAGACAGAGAGGTGTGGATAGAGGGTGCACTGCGGAGGCTGCAGTAGGCACATCCTGGACAGCGTAACCAAGACGTTTGAAAAAGCCGACTCGAAAGGGTTTACCCAAAGCAGAGCAGATTGTCCGAGCCTTCTGCTCCAAATCGGACCCTCTGAAACAGCTTCTCGTCGTAAGTACTCGTGCCGCCGTGACTTGCGATGACTGTGCCAAGTCCGAAATTCTCGGTTTGCTACCAAAGGCAGGGATGAGCATGGTTGGGCCACTGGGTGACGGCACTGCGCCGCCAAGGACCGACTTGCCGTGAGGCCTTGAGGTGTAGGCTTCGGGAGATATTTAAAGTTTGAGATGCGCTGTGTCAAGGAGATTCCAGAGAGAAATGAAAATTCTGAGTAGTGTTGTAATGCACTATTGGTTGGCGAAATTTGCCAACACGAGTTGCACCGCCCACGCCTAGTACATGATAGAAGCAGAGAGGCAAGCATCCGAGAGAGAGAAAGAGCATTCGAATGATATTACTTTGGCAGTGAAGACGATTGTTGCAGCAAATTGAGCCAACGAGCAAGTGAGAGCGAGCAATCCCGAAACTTCAGAGACTGCAGCCACCTTGGCTCTTTGGGTCGTGACAGCTTCACGGACCACCCACAATGAAGATGGCCATGGCCTCAGCAATTAAAAGTGACTGAAAGGATCCGATAGGCGGTCGAGAAGCTGTTTGCAGGTGTTCCGTATCCTCTGCATAGGCGTCTTCTGTGCGCGACTCTAGGAAACACTAATTCCGGATCGACACTTCTATGTACTCGGCAGGGCCATTGTCGAGGGTGAACCACTGAAGGAAAACGTGCGTTAGGAAGTTGTCCAGGTCCCTATAACAAACCCAGTTTGAGAAACATACGCTCGCGACATATCGATTGCGAGTGCAACTAGGTGATCTACCGCAGACAGTGACAATGCTAGTAACACGTGATCTCCCAAGTGTGTGGATGAGTCCAGGAAGTTTGTTTCAACAACACACCTCAAATTCTGCATCCCGCGTCACTATTTCCTTCCACTGAGGCCCCGGGCGGTTCGGGGCTTCTGGTCTTCGCTTTCCTAGCAACGGCGAAGGCCAGCTTTCGTTGAATCAGCTCGCATGGGACTTCCAGAAGAGGAAGCTCTGCCCAATGTACCATGGAGGGACCACAACTCTTGAAGTGATTCAGGCCCAAGTTCTGCTCTCTGAGGATCCGATTTAGGATCCTTGTCTCTGTTGAAGCCTTAAATCTTAAACACTTGAGTCTGTCCTTCAAGTGGCAAATCGCGCTATACGGATGTATGTCACAAGAGGTGAAAAACACGCTACCCCGACCTGCCCATGACTACGGCCTAGTAACCTAGTAACGGCCCCAAGCCACTGGCAGAGGCGCTGACGCCGCGTGCCCTGAACCTTAACAGCGAGGCAGAATTTGTGCCGCAGGCCCCGCCTTGCTGAGGGGTAGCATTGTCCGGTTGCGGGACTTTCAAGAGCTAAAAGGATCTTGAGAGGTTGAGGGTTTGGGGCCTCGTTT